TAATTATAGATGGGTTACACAAGCGTTCAAAAAGCACACAAATGGTCGGGGAATTGAATGGAAATTCTTTGGGCAACCTCTCCATTCATTATTAGTAGGGGTGTCAGATCGGGCAGGTTCGGTCGGTTCGGGTTAATCAGTTTTTTTAGTCACGTGAACCGCCTGAAATCGAACCGCGGGAACTATTAATCCAAACTGAACTACCCGAATAAACACTCGGGTTTGGCGGTTCGGTTTCAGTTCAACCGAATTAAGAGATTCAATTTTTTTTTTGGTCAATTACAAAAACAGTCATGCTTAAAGACTATTACATATGGTTGCTAAAGATTATTACAGTCGTGCTCAAATATTTCAAAAAGATAAGAAATTTCAATGATCCATAAACAGAAATCCAACTTTAGAAATTAGAACACAATTGCAGAAATTTCAACTTCAGTCTTCAAACTTTGCACTTGGCAGCAAGCATCTTACTTTCGAGGTCACAAATTCAAAAAGACAACAACACTTTCAATATCGTTAACATTATCAACAATTTGAGGCATCCTACAAAAAAGATAAAGAAAATGTTAATTTACACTTCACAGCAAAAAGTAACAAATAGACTCTGCCTTGTTGCAACAACTATAGCCAAATTCACAGTTGACACAAATTTCACACATCAAAATTCATTTCTTCTAAATGTGAGAATTGAATAAGAAGGAGGAAAGCCCAGAAAGGCAGAAAGATATTCCCAATCAATCCTTTCTCCATAAATAAATTTAAAAAACAAAAACCCCACAAGACCACGAAAGTAAGAAAATTGGTCCAGAACATTGAAAATGAAAACAAGCAAGGGGGATACGGGAATCATCAACCAGGCACAACACAGAAATACAAAATTTCAATCATTAATTCTGGAAAACATATACCTTGAGGAATAAGGATTTGGGGAAAGTGAGAACAGCTAGGCAGAGAGGATATGCCGCTTTGGTGTGTTTCTTTCTCGGGCAAAGAGAGAGGTAGGAACCGAAAGTAACAGAGAGCTAACTATGAACTATGAAAGTCTCGAAGATATTGAGAGCAACCTAAATCTGGAAACTCGTCGGTCAACAACTTCAATTTTGCCAGTCAATCGACGGCTAATTGGATAAAAAATTACATTTTTTTTTCTGGAATAGGTGGTTGTATAGGGTGGTCGGACTGTTTCAGGGGATGGCCGGCTGGATGATCGGATTGGTAAACGGATGAACTTAAAAAGGAAGGGCTGACGGCGTCGCCTCCTTTACATTTAGGCAGCAGCGGCCGGAAAAAAAGAGGAAGAGAGAATGAGAAACCCTGAAATCCTAAACATCTTATACATATTTATATTTTTCAAAAAAAAAAATTTAATAAAACGGGTTTCGGGTGGTGCCCAAAAAATTTTTCCCTCACCCACATCCGAACCGTTTTGTGAACGTGGTTTAGCGGGTGCATCCGAATTCACCCAATTAACCGATTAACCGACCCATTTCCTCGAATTCGGATTCGGTATGGGTGGTTATTCGGGTTGACCGCTTAAGTGACACCCCTAATTATTAGTTATTACTGACATAGAGACCTTCAAATGAATCGAATAATATACTTCTTCCTCTTGAGATATTTGTCCAATTTAAATTTTGTCTCAAAACTAAATGATCATTTTATGACTAAAGGAATAATCACCATTTCAAACGGGAAGAAAATCAACCTAAAAAAACTTAGAAATAAAACTACTATCAATGATGACACGAACTATTTACAAATACAAAAAGACAGTGTGCTAACAGAGTAGAAAGCCTATGTATTACCCTAACACTATCAACACTTTGAATATTTCTAAAACAAAATATATTGAATATGAAGATGATGGTTTATGAACACGATGATATTTATTTATCAGTAAATGAACATTGATTCACAATATAATATGAACAGTGGATGATTTATAGTATAGTAATTATTACCCTCTATAAGCTTATAGTTACATCCTCAAGCAAAATTTTTTCTCCTTTTTTAAAAACATATTTTAGATTTTAAAAAATAAATAAAGAATACAAAAAATATTTATGGAATTCTTCAAACAGTAATCTTATTTTTCATTTTTTGTTTGTCTGGTCAACAACATGTGTGTGTGTGATGTGGAAGAGTTAGTTAAAGAGCAAGGAATTGAGTCTATAGGGACATCTGGGAGTTTGTGTCATGAACTATGGGTTAGTTGGTTAGTTCTGATAGTTCAGGGACTTGTTAGTAATTTCTGTAACTTTGGGGGTTATAAATAGCCTTGTGGGTTGTAATCAGAATTAATGAAAATATTGATATCGAAAGTGTTTTTCTGAAATTATGTGGACTTTTTCCAATTTGGGTTTGACGAACCCTAAACCATCGACTTTCTATCTCCGGCTCGCTGGAATTCATCCATTTCCGTCCGATCTTTCGCCATGATCTAACAAATTGGCCTCAGAGCCCAACGTTTCTCGGCTTTGTGGATCAATTCCATCCATTCTTTCGCTCCATTTTTCACCTTGTCCGTTCGAACAATTTTCTTTGACGGTTTTCCTTCGAGAAATTGATTCTCGTTCATCGAATTTTCTTTTCTTGGATTTGATTCCGTTCGAATTCATTCTCTCTGAATTTCTTCTGATTCTAATCTTACTCATTTCTTTTGTGAAATCGGTCTTCTTCCATCTATTTGTACCGATTCAGTTTCTTGAAACCTCAATTCCTTCGAATAATCGATGGAATTTATGAGTTCCGACGATTACACGCCTAGGGTTAACCCCTTGCTGTCTCTTCCACCATCTGAAGTTTTCCCCACAAATCTGATTTCGTATGGACTTCCAGAACCATCACTAGTGGGATTAGAATCCCTCTTTTCTCCGGTGAAGATTACAGTTTGTGGTTGTCGAAAATTGAGGAATTCTTCAATCGTAACTTCATACCATCAGAGGATAAGATTTTCACAACGTCTTTCTATATGTCAGGTGAAGCACTGCAATTCCTTTATGGGTTAGAAGTCATTTTCCTGCTATACAATTGGGAGATACTCACTGAACAGTTAGAGCTACAATTTGGGGAGTTCATCGTGCAAACCACGGTGATCAACTATAGGGAGGCCGATGAATCCTTCTTAGATCAAGGTAATTTTTCCTCTCTAACTGTGAATCTTACCGAAATTATGGGTTTTGATGAAGAGATTGTTGATCTTGTTGATACGATAGTTGATGATGATTCTTCTAGTTTGTGTGATATTAACAAAGAATCTGATGATGATATTGTGCTGTATGATGGTCTATATGAAGTGATTGATGCTGCTAGTAGTAACACTGAGGAGTCCGCATTCTTGGTTTTCTGTTTGATATTGATGAAGTTTCTGGAATTGAGTGCCTTGATAAAATTGAGAATGTGATGGTCAATAAGGGTAATTGTCTGAGTCATGTTGATGACAAGCATGTGCATTATATTCATGTTGAAACTTCAGCCGGGAACTTAGATGTGTTCTTGAAGAGTCTAAATGATAGTTGTGTTGGTTTGAATACTGTGAATGGTATTTCGGCTGTTGAATGGAATTACTTCGTGAATTCAGTTGAGCCAGAAAAGGAATATGAGGAATTAGTTACTGAGAATGATATGGTTGAAGTATCTTCTGAAGTAAGAAAAAAGATTCGAGCATGGGATAAAATAGCAACATGCTTTAGTGGTGAAACTTATTTTCCTATCATATGGAATTCTTTTGCAGTTGAGCTTGATCTCAACTATGGATTTGTTGATATAGATACTCTGTTAGAACCGTATGGTAGTATTACTTTGGAAGGCAGCAAAACAGGAATTACTTCTGCAAAGTTTGTGAACAACTTGTGGGACGATTTATACATGGTTCAACAAGGGTTTATCAGAAGTGAACACCTTTGTGGCTCTATAATCCAATATTCAGGTTGGAGAAATACTAAGTTTAAATCATGGTATGAACTGTCCGGTTTCAAAGGTGGGACAGTTAGTTATGAAGGTAGAATCGCAGCAAGGCTACTAAATATTGAAACTGATTTCATTTGGATGATCGCTTGGTACCTCTTGGTAGTTTTTGCTGCGAGGAAGGAAGTTGTTGTTTGCCTGATGATTGGTGCTGTCACAATTGAAGATTTCAGCAATGAAGATAATCCAGCTTACTGGTCGACTTCAAATTTTCTTATCATTTGTTCTGTTGGTAATAATGTTGATTTTGTTGCATTTTATAGTAGTTTATGTTTTTCTTGTAGTTTTGAGAACAGGACACTATGTCAAATTATTGTTGATTTCAGTTTAGTCTTGTAACAATCTTGAGGTCAAGACTGAAATAAGGGAGAGGGATTGTCATGAACTGTGGGCTAATTGGTTAGTTCGGATAGTTCAGGGACTTGTTAGTAATTTCTGTAACTCTGGGGGCTATAAATAGCCTTGTGGGTAGTAATCAGAATTAACGAAAATATTGATATTGAAAGTGTTTTTCTGAAATTGTGTGGACTTTCCCCAATTTGGGTGTGACGAACCCTAAACCGCCGACTTTCCATCTCCGGCTCGCTGGAATTCATCCATTTCCGTCCGATCCTTCGTTGGGATATGACAGTTTGTGAGCTAGACTCACCTGGGGTGACCCATTAGGTTCTTGGGCGGATACCCGATTCCAATGCCCGCGTTTCGGGGCTCAAAAAAAAAAGAAGAAGTAAGGAATTGAGAACACCAAAATGTTAAATCCAAGTAAATTTTACGGGCCGGACGGTGTCGAGTCAGGCCCAATTCCCAAACAACATCATCCCGGTTTAGAAGGTAGCAGAAGCTAGAGTTGAAACCGGTTTCTCACTCTCTCAGCCTGTCATGCCCGGCGCGCCTTAAAAACACACCAGACAGAAGGCTGTATGTAATAGTAGAGTTTGACCTGCGCAAAAAAAACGGGCCAAATAACCCACGCTCCACCGTTGCGTCACCGTCTGCTCACTTCCCTCCGGCGGGTCTCACGATCACCAGAAAAAATGCCTTTCATATCTCAGATTGAAAGGCAGTCCGATTACAGCCGCTTCAGTTCCAGTACTCCCATTGTCATTGACAACGGTGGTTCTTATTTCCGTATTGGGTACTTCAACACGAAACCCTAGTTTTATAATTTTCTAGCTGTATAGTCTGTGTAATTGTGATTTTTTTTCCCTTTCCTTCTCTGTAATTGTAATGTATAATGCTTGAATATATGGTTTTGTAACCTGTAGGTGGGCTGGAGAGGATGATCCTAGGGTCGTATTCCGAAACATTGTTCAGCGGCCGCGCCACAAAACCACCGGTACTCTTCTTTGTTCTTCTGTAACGCAGTGTTTAATTTGACACTTCAAATGATTTTTTCTATTTAGGGATTGGTAGTGAGTATTCTGTCTGTGGATTATTATGTTGTCTAGGTTTTACATGCTGAATTAGTTATGTAAGAGATTGGAGAATTCTCCTATGGTGTTTAAAATACAATCACTTCGGTATGGCTGTATAAGGATCCGAGTTGGTTCATCACTAGTACCGCATTCCACTTTTTTGGATAGGTGTACTAAACAAATCCACATAATGGCAAATGATTTGTTTTCATAATGATAAGTAAAAACTTTATTGCTCCAATATACACCAATATGCCACATTTACCAACATGGGAAAAGTCCTGTTTAGTGCTTAGTGATGTACATCTACCTAATGGTAGCTTCACTTTATAATTTGTCCCTTTTTCTGTGGTCAATGTTACATGCGTTAAGAAATTTATTTACAATGATGTGATTTTTCTGAGGATCTCTCATTTTTTGTTTTATTTTTTTGGTTAATATTTAAAAACAATGCAGGGGAAACAGTTACTGTGGTTGGTGATCATAACCCTGCATTACTGAGATATTTTGACTGCACGCGGTCAGGGCCTCGCTCTGCTTTTGATGGAAATGTTGTTTATCAATTTGAGATAATGGAATATGTAAGGTTCTCCAGTGCTGGTAGCTATTTGCTTTCAAATTTGTGCAGATAAGTGTTTTGAAAGTGTATGTCTTATCAGGATTGGGGGATGTAAATTTATCACCTGTTTTGTGTTTCATGATATACTATTTTGTTTATTGTAAGTAATTGATTAGAGGCTGTTTGTGGTCTCTTGTTTCTGCAGATTCTTGACTTTGGCTTTGATCGATTAGGCGCTGATCAATCGCAGGTATGCTTGGATTTTCTTTGCATAAACTGCTTCTTTAGATGTAGTGTGCAGAGTGTAATAATGATCTGTATCAAGTTTGAAAGCTGCTCGCTTCTTTTTATTCTTGCCTTGATTTGATGTTAATGATGGCTAAAGTTTTGTTTTCATTCCAATGAAATATGTTGCCTGTGAAGACATCATTGTAGCAGGTGCTTATTTTTTTGGAGTTCAACCGTTCATAAGATTTTACTATGTGACGGAGCTACCTGTCGCACTTCAACATGGGTGCTTATGTTCTCTGACTTTTTTGAACAATTTATCAATCGTCATCAGCTCAAGGGATTTGTTCTTAGTAATAATTGCTGTTTGCCTGTGTGGATGACTTTAAGTTATTATTAATATCATTGTTTTCTTATCTGATTATTAGTTCCATTGTTAATTTTTTTGAGTCACAAACTTATTTGATTTATTATGTTATATCCCTCTCGGAGTTCCTGTTGTCTAAAGAGATTGGGGAAAAGAAAAACTTTAAACTACAACAAATAACAAATTGGCGATTGAAGCAAAATACCCAGTAAAAATTAAAAAATACGTTGACCTGAATTTTATGATTAAAATATCATTGTAACATTTATGTCTGTGATTCGATGGCAGAACAGATTGACCACCCTGTCTTGATTAATGAGTGTCCTTGCAACCCCAACCAATCCCGTTGCAGAATGGCTGAACTTCTTTTCGAGTCTTATGGAGTCTCTTCAATAGGTATGAATGTTTGCCAGCAGAAATGAAAGCTCTTTTTTTTGAGGGGTATCTGTAAATTTTTAGTTGAATTTGGGTGGCTCGGGGTTGTGTTTGGAGCGGTATCATGACTCAGTATTTAAAGACGTGCATATATGTCTTCTGTTGTTGGCACAGTGGAGTAGGGCATGATAGATCTGAATCTCTCTCTTTTACATTGTGGTACATGGGTATTTGGGATCACTTCTGCTATTGAAATGAATTTTCTGCATTTTAATTCCAGCATATGGCGTTGATGCTGCATTCAGCTACAAATACAATCAAAAGAAAGGGATTTGTGCAAGTAATGGTCTTGCTATATGTTCTGGATTTATGAGCAGTCATGCTATCCCGGTAACTTCACTCCCCTCAATGATATTGTACAATCCTTGCAAGCATTACTGAGTTATCATGGAATTTTGAGTTCTTAGATATCTACGTCAATACAGTTTGCTTTCTTGTAGAGTCCCATCTTGTAGCCTGTCTGGTTCCTTGGAGATGTATTTTGGCTGAAGATTTAATTATGAGCCGTAGAAAGAACTCATGTTAGCATTAATTCATGAGGACCCTTTAATGAGTAATCAACAGTTAATGAATAGTTCACTGAAAATTAAAGCTTAAATAGTGTATGACAATGTTCTGACATACATGCACATAAATTAGGAGTTAACTTGTACGCTAGGTTTTTACATTTTATTCAAATGTATCTTACGTTGATTCTGAATTATTTGTGCGACATTTGAATATTATTTGTTTCAAAATTTCAGTTTGTCAATGGAGAACCAGTTTTTGAGGCGTGTTGCCGAACTAATGTTGGGGGATATCATGTCACTGATTACCTGAAGCAGCTTCTTTCACTCAAGTACCCTCATCACAGGTGAGTAGGAGGAAAATTGTCCCTCTTTGAACTGTTTCGGAGATTCTCTTATTCGTTTTTGTTCTTTGATTGATCATATTTGAACAGTACTAAGCTCACTTGGGAGAAAGTTGAAGACTTGAAGATGGAAAATTGTTACATTGCACCAGATTATGCGTCAGAAGTTAAAATATTTCAGGTAGCATGCATCTTTTGGGTCAGTTGACTGCTGTGATTGTACTCTTTTTATTAAATGAAAAGCGATTGTGGTGGCAGAAAGGTGATAAAGAAGCTGAGGAAAAGACCAGGTGCTGGCAGCTTCCTTGGACTCCTGCACCTGTTGAGGAACAGCCTTCAGAAGAAGAAATAGCCAGAAAGGCAGAGAGAAAGGAGAGACAGGGTCAAAGGCTGAGGGAGATGGCTGAAGCTAAGAGAACATCTCGTATTAATGAACTTGAGAATGAAATTAGAGGTTTGGACTTCCTCGTAAAGCAGCTTGAGCATGTTCCAGAGAATGATGTTCCTGCTTTTCTTAGAGATACAGGCTATGCCTCTAAACAGGAAATAGAATCTAATCTTGCGAAAGCAACACAGTCTTTGCGCAAAGCAAAGGGTGAACAAGTAGAAAACGAAGAGAAGGGGGATACTTCCAATGCTGAAAAGTATAATCTTCTTCATGTCCCTGACGAGATGCTGACATCAGAGCAGGTATATTCTTAAATGTGGTGTATGGTTATGCTTTTTGCCAATAACAATAGCTGTTGCATGGATTTCTTTTTACCCTTAAAAGAGTTTCAATGAGTTAATGGTTTAAAAGTTTAGTTTATTCCAACAAGCTTAATTATTTTTAAGTGCTGTTTGGTGTCCAATATGTTACAGTAGTCTAGTTCAACTGAGTCACTTATTGTGATTTAGTCTAAAGTATACATTTTGATCTGATGGCAGCTTAGAGATAAAAAGAGGCAGCTTTTTCTCAAATCCACAGCTGAGGCTAGGCAGCGAGCCAAACAGAGGAAATTGGAACAGGAATTAGAAAGAGAAAAGCAAATGAAGTTGGAGGAGGCAAAACGCTTGTATGTATTCAATTCTTGGCATCTTTAGAATCAAGAGCTACATGATTCATTTCTTCACTGGCATATAAGTTTGGGTTCCTTATTTCTTAATCATAGTTCTGCTTGGTTTTTCTTGATTGTAGAGAGAACCCAGAGTTGTATTTAGATCTGTTACGTGCCAAGTATCAGGAACTTTCCGAGAAAGTAGAACAACGAAAACGCCAAAAGACAAATGGCAACAACACAAATGGGAAACAGAATGGTTCTGGAGGAGTGGGCCGTGGAGAGAGGTTGAATGCCGCCCAGAGGGAAAGGATGCGCCTCTTGGCATCAGCAGCATTTGACCGTGGGAAAGGTGAAGACACTTTTGGTAGGGATGATGAAGATTGGCAACTTTACAAGCTTATGAGTAGAGATAACAACGATGACGAGGACGATAATGAAGCTGACCTTGCTCGTGTGTCTGCTAGATTGCGGGTTTGTAGTCATCTATGTTCTTTTTTTTGGCCTCATGTGCCTCTTTTTGGGCAAATTATTATGGATGTACCCTTTCGTTCAGTTTAAACTTATTGTGCGTCATATATATTCCAGGAAATAGATCCCACTTTCGTGCCCAAGTCTGAAACAGGCTCGCCGGCTGAGCCTCCAGGTTTTCGTCCTTTGACTAAGGAAGATTTTCAGATTCTTATGGGAGTGGAGAGGTTCAGATGCCCGGAAGTTCTTTTTCATCCCAACCTAATCGGGATTGAGCAGGCAGGTTTGGGTGAAATGGCCGGGATCTCACTTAGAAGATTGCCATCTAACGATGAAGCACTGGAAGAGAGAATCACGAAATCAATCTTCTTGACGGGTGGTAGTTGTCAATACCCCGGAATGATAGAGCGCTTGGAAACAGAAATTCGAATGCTTCGGCCTTGTGGATCAGCGATAAACATCGTGCGGGCTTATGATCCAATTTTGGATGCATGGCGGGGAGCATCTCAATATGCTTCGGATATGCAATTGTTCCAGCAGCAAACATTTAGTAGAGATGATTACTTTGAGAAAGGCGAAGATTGGTTACGGGGATATAAGTTTAGGTACACGCTCACGTAAGAGAGCTTATGGTAAATTGTAGTTTATAGACCCATATCGTCGTTAGCAAGAACACTATTGGTAAGGCTGCTGCCTCATTGATGGACCTTTTCTAATGAAATTCTAATTCACGGTTATTAGGTGATTATATATCATCGAATTTGTTAATGCTCAATTTAATGGTAGGAAACAACGATCTGCTAATCTAAAATTTTTTTCTGACCAAAAGTATAAAGTTAGTGGCAAGTTCATCCCAGTAACGGCTAGGTCTAAGAAACCAACTCGGACCAAAGCCCAGACCAGAAAACTGAAAAGAACCCAAAGAGTTTCAGCTTCCCCTGGAAAAGTGACCGTTAGATGGTTGGACTCTATTTTTAATAACGCCCCTAAATTTGACCGTAAAAACCAGCCTCAACTATATTTTGTTAAAGCTACTGCAAAACTACATATACATAAAAAGCCTTTCCTTTCAACAAAAAACTAACCGTTGATACCTTGAAAGAAAGTAGCTGCTCCCGCTCTCTCCACACTCCCAAAATTCAGCTGTCCCAAACCAAAAATCCTCCCTTGAGAAGGAAAGCCTCTCTTCATCTCTTTCTCCACCAGAGATAGAGAGGCAGCCCTTTTCAAGATCCTGTTTTTGTTTCATCTCATAAGGTTTAATCGAAAAGATTGAACACGAAAAGAGGAATCGGAAAAAAAAAAAAATGGATTCAGCTCAGACTCAGAGAAGAAAAAGCGGGATTAACCTCCCAGCTTCAATGTCTGAGACTTCGCTCCGTCTGCAGACGACGGCCTCATCTGGGTCCCCATCCCTTGTTAGATCCTCATCCAATTTGCCATCGCCGATGACCATGTCCCCCAGGACGATCTCGAATCTTTCGTCGCCGTCGTCAAAGTCCGGTAGTTGCAGTGACAGGTTTATCCCCTGCAGATCATCATCCAGGCTGCACACTTTTGGGCTCATGGACAAGGATTCGCCGGTGAAAGAGGGAGGAGGCGGCAACGACGCTTATTTGAGGTTGTTGAAAACTGAGCTTTTTGGGACTGATTTTGGGTCTTTTTCTTCTTCTTCTCCTGCAGGTAAAGGCTCGCCGTTGAGTCCTAACAAGAATATGTTGCGGTTCAAGACTGAGCAGTCGGGACCTAATTCCCCTTACTCGCCTTCCCTGTTGGGCCAGGAGAATGGAAATTCTGCTGAGGTTTCTACCCCTCCTAAACCACCTCGAAAGGTTCCCAAGACCCCCAATAAGGTACTGTATTTGGCCTTCTTCTGCTTTGTTTGTTTAGAACCATCACTCCACTTTTGCATTGAATTGTCGAACCTATCAATGGGAGATATTTATTCAGATCAGATTGTCCAATTTAGCAAACATGGATGGATGTGTCCAGAAATGAGGTGGATTTGAAGTTTATGGAACTATTGTTATTTGTAGGATTATTCAAATGCTGTAGGAATCTAAGTTATTAGTGATTAGGTAATTGAAGAAAAGAACTACAGGGAAAAGAAACTTACAAAGTAAGGGCTTAGGCTGCTCTAAATACTGGATAAGTTATTGACTGTTCATCACCATCTTGTTTTGCTGAAAATTGGACTGTTTTTCTTGTTATTTATTCAATTTACATGATCACTTTCTGTCACTTATGGATTCAGCCATCATTTTGTTGAAGAAAGCAATTATAGTAGCATCATTAATCATCATGGCTGTCTTCAGGTTCTTGATGCACCAGCACTTCAAGATGACTTCTATTTGAACCTAGTTGACTGGTCATCTCAAAATACCCTTGCTGTTGGCCTGGGAACGTGTGTCTATCTATGGAGTGCCTCTAACAGTAAGGTGAGTTCATGTAAATATTGTGAACTAGTATCCACTAATTTGCTGAATGATCAAATGGCTACACCTTCGGTTTTCCCCTCTCACTAATTCTGTTTGTATTTCTCAATTTTGTCCAGGTTACAAAGTTGTGTGACTTGGGACCTAATGATGGTGTATGTTCTGTCCAATGGACTCGGGAGGGTTCATACATTTCAATTGGCACAAATCTTGGCCAAGTTCAGGTGCTTAAAGTTTTCTCTTTGAATTGGACCTTTATGTAGAACTTATGGATATTATACTCAGAGAATTTACAGTAACTGAATACTTGGGGTGCTATTTCAGGTTTGGGATGGAACTCAGTGCAAAAGGATCAGGACCTTCAGTGGGCATCAAACAAGAACTGGAGTTTTAGCATGGAGTTCGCGAATATTATCTTCAGGAAGCAGGGATCGGAACATTCTTCTACATGACCTTCGAGTACCAAATGATTACATAAGCAGGCTTTCTGGCCACAAGTCTGAGGTATGTGTCCGTAATATATTGCTATTGGGAGAACATTTCCACATGATCTTGATAAATATGCTTATAACTTGTGCCCCAACTCAGGTTTGCGGGCTGAAGTGGTCACATGATGATAGGGAACTGGCATCTGGAGGAAATGACAATCAGGTTTGAAATTGTAATGAATAATTGTTGTCATCAACTTTGAAATATATTGCTAATAAGTGCTGAAGTGTATCTGCTGCTAATGTTGTGTACTGCAGCTTCTGGTTTGGAATCAACATTCGCAGCAACCACTTTTGCGACTGACGGAGCACACTGCTGCAGTAAAGGCAATAGCATGGTCACCTCACCAAAATGGGCTTCTAGCTTCAGGGGGAGGAACTGCCGATAGATGCATTCGCTTCTGGAATACAACAAACGGGAATCAACTAAATAATGTAGACACAGGAAGCCAGGTTTGTGGTTTAACCTTTTAGAAATTTCCAAAGAATGGTCATAATTTTTTCCTGGATGAAGTTATGCTGATAAGCAACAATGATTTTGTGTGTAGGTGTGCAATCTAGCATGGAGTAAAAATGTAAATGAGCTGGTGAGCACTCATGGATATTCCCAGAATCAAGTCATGGTGTGGAAGTATCCATCCATGGCAAAGGTATGGAGTTTCTGAACTCTGATGCACATTCTGAAAATCTTAAAACCGCCGATGGATCCTCTGTTCCAGTTGACTATATCGTTGTGATATTATTTGCGTTTGTTATAAAAACATTGAAGTTTCCATTCTGCTTTAGCTGATGCTTTGGGTGGTGTTTTGACAGGTTGCAACTCTAACTGGACATAGCATGCGAGTACTATACCTAGCTTTATCACCCGATGGCCAGGTTAGATCATAATTCATGTTTGAATTTTTTTTTTTTTCAGAAATGCTTCTGATTTTATGAGGGTACAAACTTGACTTCTTTCTTCTTTATTTTTCCTCCGCAGACAATTGTAACTGGAGCAGGTGACGAGACATTGCGGTTTTGGAATGTATTTCCATCTGTGAAAGCACCTGTAAGTAGTATTAAATTTGTGAAGCAAGTTGCGTGCTTTGCTACTGTTACTTCTTCTGGTCTGACTGCGTGATTTTTCTCAGGCTCAAGTCAAGGATACAGGCTTATGGTCAATGGGAAGAACTCATATTCGGTGACAAGCCAGCTCCCTTGGTAGTTTTGGTCTGTAAATGGATTGTATAAATAATACTCCTACATTACCAGAAGCTGAGATGTCCTCCTCATTGTTCCTGAGAACCCCGACTCCATTTGAATCAGAATCAGCCCCCTCTGTAGTTTCTTTTTATTCTTTCTGTACCAATGTAGTTGGATGAAGTAACAGTTTGTAAATGCTCTAAGCGGAACTGAGGGTGGAATTCCAATTGCAAAATGTTCCATATCGCCATTGTTTATTTTTTGATCTGTAGGCTTATTATATATATATATATATATATATATATATATATATATCAACGACGCCAAAAGAAATTAAAAAGTTGAAAACCAAAACGACGTCGTTAAATTTAAAGAATACTATATTTGTCTATTGGTTTTTTTACCCCCTCATTAAAATTGCTGATGTCATCGGGAGTCTCTCAACCAAAGGAAATATTAGAATATAATTAGAAGAGGTTCTTTTATAACAAAAAAGCTAGATTCTGGACCGTGTATTGGCAGGGGTATATAGTAGACTAATGTATTTTTATTTCCATATAAAACTTTAAATGGAGCAAATGAGCAAAGATGAAAGTATAGCATATATTATATTGTTTTCTCAAATTTAGGAACTTTATTAGAAGTTACAAAGCCTTGTTTATCTTTTCCCAACCATAAATATGTGCACAGTTGAAGTTGCACCCATGCGTAAACCTTGAGTACCATAAAGAAGCAGATTGAAATGGCTAGCAAAGAAGAAAAAAAAAAGTGAATAGTTGTTTTTAAATTGCGCAGACAAAGAGAATTAAATAAAAAAATATATATAAAAAACATAAACAAATAAACCACCAACCCATATTAGCAAAAGACATACCAACAAAAAAAAAAAAAAAATCCTTACAACAAAATTCATTACTTTATGAACAATTTATATGATGAAGACCAAGCTTCAGTGAGAATAAATTAGTACATAAAAAATTATGCATATTTATTGCAGAGGCCTAAGGGGGTATCATATGCATTTTGCTCTTAGTCCTATATTAATAACACTAATCAATTGGGATCAACTTTGACAATATCACTTCCTTGTAGAAATTACTGTACTTCTACTCTTAATTGCCAAATGATTCTGCTAAAATAACTTTTAGCATCCATGACAATTTTAATATGAATAGACACAATTATCCCTCTTCAAATAGGATACTTAATACTTATCATCATCTCTCACGGTCATGACAGACACCCCCATTACTTTTTCTTACGCAGATAAAAACACATCCGATTCTCTAGGCAAAGCAGCCTGAATTTATTCAACGGATCTCAAAGAACATGAAAATTAGGATTCGTAATAAATTTTACAGAAAACCCATCCAATTTTTTGTGCATTGGTGGCTACAGAGACAAGGAGAGCCCATTAGTTTTGGAAAAATATCCCAATTTTGCAGAGGAAACATAAAGATAGGAAATTTTATTTGAGTGTTCTTAAGAATCCGCATCTTTACGTTTCAAATTATTTGTTTTTTGTAAACCCTTTAAAATTTGGTGGATTTTTACTGATTGCAAATAATTTATATGATTTTTCCAACTCTTGGCTTCTACTGGATTAAAACACTTAATATTGAGAGGGGAAAAAAAAATGTTCTGTTGTTTCTCAGAGGGAATAGGAAAAACATTTATGAGAAATCAGAAATTTTGCACTTCTTTTTTTTCTTGCGGCGGCAGCCTGGCGGCGTGGGTTTGAGAATTGATAGTGAAGTTAAAAAAGACGATGGGTGCTGATTTTTTTTTATGATAGGTAAATATGTTTTTTATTCAAATTTTATCTTGGATGCTAGATTTTGTCTCGGTAGAATCATCACCCTTCTTAATTCTTGTATTGTTATCTTTAATGTAAAATAAAAACGAGCACCGTCTTAAACCAGACACAAAAAAAAGAAAGAAAAAAGAAAGTAGAACTCATTGGGTTCATACTCAAGCATTATCGATCATCCTAAAGAACAAAATAAACTAAAACGCAATAATAACATTCATTCCGTTAGTTTTTCGGTTGTCATAAGTAACTCTAAAATTAGTCTTTTTACCTAATTTTTCAAGAAGCAGCCAATTCTTTCTTGTAATGATTTCATTGGAAAAAAAAATTGCATCAATCAAATTCTTTAATAACAAAAAGCACCTAAATTAGTTAAATAATTGATGTTGTCTCCAGTGAAGTCCAGTCGGCACCCTCGAACTACACTCTTGGCTAACGTTGAAATCAGCCTTGGCCATCGATTAGGAAACTCTTGTCCTGAATCTCTAGTGATATTGATAGTCGCTATTTCGATCGATCATCAAGAGTGATGATATCAACAGTAACAATTTATACAAAGATATGTTGAATTTTACAGGAGAAGAAAAAGGATATTATATTAATCTAATTACATGATAGGAAGAAATTTTTTTTTCGGAATGAACCGGACGATACTTTATGAATTCAGAATTTGATATTCACCATGGAGAGACAGAGGATGTGCAGTTATTTGAAACGTTCAATGGTAATTAAAAAGCCTTTCATGAATAGAATTGCAGTTAGATATAAATTTAATGCTATTTTTGTGGAAGAAAAATATTTGATAAAGAACGTGGTAACTGTTTGGAAGTCTGTTTTCTGAAGAATCCCAATTTAGTTGGAATTTGTAAGCCACATATTCATTTGAACAGTTTCGGTTTTTTCAGTTTATTTTTTTCTTTGATAAATAAATTAAATGAGCATCATATGGGTTTCGGTTTTTCAATTTATTTTTTTCTTTGATAAATAAATTAAATAAATTAAAAGGACATCTTTTGGGTTTCGGTTTTTTCAGTATATTTTTTTTTCTTTGATAAATAAATTAAATGGGCATATTTTGGGTTTTGAGTGAGGAAACTTTTAAGGAGAGTGTGACATTGGGAATTTTAAGAAAAACATCATTTTTGCTATAATGAGGTTTATTATATTATAGATTGCATGATAGGGAGAAAATCTTTTTTTCGGAATGAACCGGAAAGATACTTTATAAATTCAGAATTTGATATTCACCGTGGAGAGACAGAGGATATACAATTATTTGAAACGTGAAATGGTAATTGAAAAGCCTTTCATGAATAGAATTGCAGTTAGATATAAAATTTAATACTATTTTTTGAAAGAAAAATATTTGATAAAGAACGTGGTAACTGTTTGGAAGTCTGTTTTTTGAAGAATCCAGTTTAGTTGGAATTTGGAAGCCACAGATGCATTTAAACAGTTTCAGTTTTTTCAGTTTATTTCTTTTCTTTGATAAATAAATTAAATAAATTAAATGAACATCATATGGGTTTCGATTTTTTAGTTTATTTTTTCTTTGTTAAATAAATTAAATGGGCATCTTTTGGGTTTTGAGTGAGGAAACTTTTAAGGAGAGTGTAATATTTGGAATTTTAAGAAAAAACATGGTTTTTACTATAATGGGGTTTATTAGTATAGATTACATGATAGGGAGAAAATCTTTTTTTCGGAATGAACCTGACGATACTTTATGAATTCAGAATTTGATATTCACCGTGGGGAGGATGTGCAGTTATTTGAAATGTGGAATGGTAATTGAAAAGCCTTTCATGAATAGAATTGCAGTTAGATATAAAATTTAATGCTATTTTTTTGGAAATTTTTTTTTTTTTTGATAAAGAACGTAGTAACTGTTTGGAAGTCTATTTTCTGAAGAATTCCGGTTTAGTTGGAATTTGGAAGCCACAGATGCTTTTGCACAGTTTTGGTTTTTTCAGTTTTTTTTTTTTTGATAAATAAATTAAATGAGCATAATATGGGTTTCAGTTTTTCACTTTATTTTTTTCTTTGATAAATAAATTAAATAAATTAAAAGAACATCTTTTGGGTTTCAGTTTTTCAGTATATTTTTTTCTTTGATAAAGAAATTAAATAAATTAAAGGTATTTTTTGGGTTTTGAGTGACGAAACTTTTAAGGAGAGTGTGACATTTGAAATTTTAAGAAAAACATGATTTTTGCTATAATGGGGGTTATTATAGATTTTTTTTCTTTGATAAATAAATTAAAAGGACATCTTTTGGGTTCCGGTTTTTCAGGATATTTTTTTCTTTGATAAATAAATTAAATAAATTAAATGGGCATCTTTTGGGTTTTGTGTGAGGATACTTTTAAGGAGAGTGTAACATTTAGAATTTTAAGAAAAACATGATTTTTGCTATAATGAGGTTATAGATAGATTATAAATAGATAGATTATAGATTATAAATTATAGATAGATTATAGATAGATAGATAGATTATAGATAAGAAAAAATAGGGATAAATGCTTCTTCTTCTTCTTCTTCTTCTTCTTTTTTTTTTCTCTATCCCAAAATAATAGAGGAACAAATATGATTTCGTTTCTTTTATTCTTTTCAAACTAAAAGATTTATATTGATTCAAAAATGAAGATCTACATACTCTTCTTCTGTAAAGTAATTTGCAAGTTCTAGTGAGGACAGACATCAAGACAATCAAAATAACATTTCCAATTCAGCTGTCCACCTGGCGAACAACTTAATCCACAATGTAGACGGCAGAACGTATCAATCTCATCTTTATCTGAGTTACTACGGAGAGACATCGCAGGTGGCTGCGACTCTGAGGCTGCCGGTGAAGTCGCAGCATCATATGACTCCGATATACCGGAAACTCGTTGGTCTTCGGTACGCTGCATTGATGAATCTTCGGCGATTGTCACTCCCACGGCCATTAACACTATTATCATCAGGCCAAGGCATATGTTTTTTGCGTTAACCATTATTACAATGTCTTTCTCTGTATCTTTTTGAGCAAACCACAAGAGTGTCTTGTTCAGTTTTTTATTGAGGGAGCTGATTATGTATGTATCGTTATTTATAATGAACTGACGAAGAATATGACAAAAGAGTTGACTACATCATTAATTGGAATGAATAGTTTGTTAGGAAGTCAATAGAGAAGCCTAAATATGATTCGGCAACTGTTAGAGAATATAATTCGGATATTCCAAGACAGTAAAATGAGTCCCCATAAATGCCGTGGAGAAAAAAGAAAAAGAAAAAAAAGAGGGAAATTTAGATTAAGGGCATCTCTAATCATTACACTGTATTTTACATCAAATTTAGCATAGAAATAGAATATTCTCATCATCTTTTTGCACCAAATGTTTTTGACGTGAAAATGGAGTAAATTTTTTTACAATTACATTTTCAACTAGTTATGTTAATTCATATTTGTGTTACAAGTTTCTATACTGTAGCGATTTTAGTTATATCTAGCCAATATTAGTAACTTAAAAATAATGGTAATTATAAAAAAAAATAAAAATAAATATTATAGACAATATGGATCTTATTTTGAAGATCTAAAAAAACCATATAATATGATATTACTTTCATAATATAATTTATTTTTTAAAGTATGATAATATAGCAAGTCATTTTCTTTTTATCAAAATAATAAATAGTGCACAAAGATAGTGCAATTGGTAATTTACACCAAATTTGATGTAACCTTATTCATTGCACCTAATGTCTTCCATGGAGCACAAATTTTACCCTAAAACAACAAATATAGTGTTTTAAGGCCCTGTTTGATAAACTCATTCAATATTTAAACTTAATTGATTAGGTACTTAATTAATTGGTACTGTTTGATAACACAATTTTATAACAAAATTGATTAAGAACTTAACTCATTAAGGACTTAAATCATAAGTTTGTTTGATAATTCAAAATAGGATGCCTTAATAAATTAAGTGAATATGAAATTCTAGTATAAACGTGAGTCTAAAAATAAGTGATTTTACTTATATCTGAACTAAATTCTTGAGACGATTCTTTTTCCTATTTATTTACTTTATGTTTATATACTTTTGATGTTTTATCATGAAATATTTTTATCAATCTTGGTGTTTAGTTATAATTAAAAATTATATAATTATTATTTTATTTAATATACATTTGTTTTAATACAGAAAAAAGAAAACATGAACAAAGTCCATAATAAATATATATTTAACATAAGGATATTATTTTTTAAAAAATAATATGAATTTTTTTACTAATGATAAAGATATGATTTTATCAATAACTGGAAAATTAATCACATTATAAGATTTAAATATTTTTCTTGTATAATTTTATAATAATACTATTATTTTTATTATCATAGTTTCATGTACATCAATTATTTTTTAGATAAAATTAGAAGTCAAGATACTTTAAATTTTCAGTGTTCAGACTTCAGATTTCAGACATTTTATTCAGTCTTCGGGTTTTAATTTTTATCAAACAAGACAAACTTAATTAGTTCAGTACTTATGGTTCAATCTTCAGATCTCAGACTTCAGATCCAAATTAAGTTTTATCAATTTGATGTCTTTATTGGAGATGCTCTAAGGGCAATAGAAGGTAAATAATTAATTAAAGGAGTATTACTTTTGAATTATTTGTATTAAAGGCATAACCATACAACTTTTCAAACAAAACTTTAATTAGTAAAAAAAATCATGTTTTAAAACTAATTTCATTTTCTAATGAGTACTATTAGTCTAAAAATTCTAAGGTTACTAAAACCCTAGTTAATCTATCTCCATCAATTAAAAACAATTATATTTAAATTTATTTCCATTTAAATTTCCAATGACATAAAACACAAAATTTGTGTGAGTTTACTTCTATAAATGTACTATTATGGCTCCATTAGGCATGATCTTTTTTTGTAATTTTTTTTTTGAAAAATTTAAACAAATTTATTTATCAGAGCTTTGGTTCTTATGGAATCGATAAATTTCTTGATATTAAATATTGATCTATGCATATAAAAATAAAGTTTACTACTACTGAGATTAGGAAAAATCAACCTCTATTACTTAAGTTCACTTGTAAGTCCTTTTTGTCATTTTAAAACTTTTAAGTTTTCTGTAATGACATTACAATTTTATGGTATACAGAAAATTCGCAAAAAGGCTTGAATTTATCCGCTGGAAAATAAAAATGAGAAAATAAGAATTTTTTTATTTTTCTTTTTATAAAGAGTTAAGCTCATGTTTGGAAGGTGAGATTGTTATACCATTTATACAAATTATGTAAAAGTAATGCCCTGTTTATTAATAATGAACCCTTCACTGCCCCTAATCTAAATTTTTCAAAAAAAAAAATATATATAAAAAAAATGATACCGTAGAGATCAATTCGCAATAGTGTTATCTTTAATAATAATAATAATATATAATGAGTGAGTTTGATGTATGCTAAGGTCAGAACAATAGAGAAACTTAAATTAAAGAGATGCATGGTATATCAAACCAGACACCATTAGCCTGTCGTGAAACTAGTAATTTGAGGCTGGCAATTTTATGACTCCTATGTATACATCAGATACTTGTTCTTTGGTGTGCTGTGCTCTCAATATCATCAAGATCAGAGGCCAACACAAGTTTTTCTGGTTGATAGATGAAATGCGCATCTTTTGACAGCATAACTAACATTTATATTCCCTGATTTCAATTAATCATACAGTATAAGTTATTAAAATGATGGAATGGGGGAGATTATGTGAATCTATACACTATGGTGGGATTTAGAATTTTTTTTTTTTTGGTAATAATTGCTTCAAAATTGCTCAACAAAAATTTTTCCAGTTCATTACTTTTCTTATTACTCTATCTCCATTTTCTTCTCATTAAGGTCGTTTATATTGTCGCAGCGTCACAGCACACACCCATAACATACATCTAGGAGGACACTCCCACCTGAAGCAATGACAATAATTCCAGGATCAAGAGATTTTCTAAAGGGAAATGAGGGAAATGACTTTTGATGTAGTAATTGTACAGCAAAGGGCAATTAGCAAATTTTAAGGATCAGCACAGTGATTGTCAACCACGCATTTGAAATAACAACCCCAATCTATTTGCGCGCCTCGTGAGAGGCACATTATGACACAACCCACTTGGCACAACGCTGGAACCTTGTTACTTGATGTTGCCAATGCCACTGCTTCATCTGATGCCTCCGGCTTGGTTAGATCTGCCACGGTCGCTCCCTCCATCAACACTAATAATATCATCAGGCCAACATATATGATTTTCGAATTTGCCATTATCCAATGCTCTCCCTCTCTGTCTCTGAGCAAACCCCAAGAATATTCAAAAAGAGGTCACTGAAATATGTTGTTCTTCACTCCCATAATTCAGCATTTATATATGCTTATTCACATTTGCATACAAGTAATGAACTGAACTAACTTATTCATAAATATCCTCTTTGGAATATGACAAAAAAGTTTACTACTTCATTAATTATAATGAGGGGTTTGTTAGGAAATGAATTAGAGTAGTCTAATTCAGTAAGCGGGGGAAAAATAGTTGAAATATCCAAGACAGTATAGCGAAGTGGACAAAAATAACTGATACCATGATCAAATTGCAATCAACTTAAGAGTGAACTCATATTCAACCAAAAAAAAATAAAAAAATAAAAATTAACTTAGATAGCTTTATTGATATTATATTATTGCAAAAATTCACGAAGGCTGGGTATTGATCCGGGCACATGTGGTAAAGCTAAAAAACAAATTAACCTTCTTAAAAAGCCCTAATGTAAATGTCGTTATATTTTTTGGAAGAGAATTTGCAATTTTGCCATTCTATCAAACTCAAAAACAACAAGCAGTCTCGTACTTTACTAACCGCTAATTCGTAGTCCTTGGCAAATCAAGTAAATCTCCCTCGAGCATGATCTTGTAGCTTTAGGTCTCAACCATGATGCTTTCTTGAATAGCGGTTTGCATGCCTCGCTGAATTCTGAAAAGTGAACAAATAATACACACATTTTATTAGGAATTACTACAAGCCAGAAAGTGGTGGCAAATTCTGTATCTCATAGAGAAGTAACCTTTTACATCTTCACTCTCCAAAAGCTTCACAACAAGGTTGCCTCCTGGCAAGAGGATTCCGCCATGTCCTTTATCCGAACTAGACCGATCAGGTTGTGATTTCCCTTCAACATTATCATCAGATGACACCAAGGCAGCCTCGCCAACTGCCAAATTAAGGGCTCTCATTCCCAATTCTGCAGATAAAGCTGCATCCCTTGTTGTGATCCCAGAGACTGAGGGACACATATCAGAGAGAATAACTGAAAAGCCTTTATTCTGCAGGAGGAGGAACGTAAGTGAGGATTAGAGAACTAAAATGCCTTCAGAAGATGGATGCAATCTGCAACATCTTTGATCATGTCAAATACGCCTCAATAACGTCTTTCGTTATCTCAAATTATTTAATCATGCAGAAATTATGTAGAAAGAGTAACAATAACATGTAATAGCATCAAGCAGAGAACTTCCATTTTTTTTTTTACTGCAGTGGAAAAACTTCGGTTGAAAAGAAAAGCTACAGTGCATATACCCAAAAAAAAAACAAAACAAGACATTTAAACCGGCTTTGCCCCAGGAATTACTCCCAAGTTCACAGTAAGTCAGTAATAGTCTAATAGATCAAGCAAAGGACTTCTAAGCAAGTCTAATTCCTAGTCCTTGTGAAATATTATGATCTTAAACCTTAAAGTGATCTGCACTCTGATCTTAACTAATCACCAGACTATGTCTGAACCACAAGAAAAGATGTATAAAATCATTTGAAGAATACCTCTGGTGAAAGCGCTCTGATTTTTTCTTTGGGTAAGTTCATTACATCAGCAGAAAAGGTTTTAACCCGGGCATCACAATGCGTAGGAGGTACCTTCACCTTCTGCTCAGCACCATTTCAACATTTCCAGAGTATAAAAAGAAAAAAAAATCCATTGCTCCAAAATGTTCATTAATCTTTCCAAAAGTATAATTTAGAGGACATGAGTATGACAATTACCTTAATATCAATCCCCACCACAGCCCCACCATTCTTCAATGGTCCCAAGCTCTGGCAGGCGACCTACATTGCATTTCGGCGATAGTAAACCATGATAAGCAACCAAAAACAAAAATCCAAAGGAAGTTTATAAGTCACCATTTCATTGTTCCAAGAAATAACAAACGAGCAATGAAAGGAAAAAAGCACCTGGAGCCAAGCACCAGGAGCACAGCCAAGATCAAGAACAGAAGATCCAGGCTTGATCAACTTGTACTTTTCCTGCATCTGAAGTAACTGCTCTTCGAACAGTAAAATTCAAGAGAATCTAACATTAGAAGTAAGAATTCAGCACATATGAACTTTGTGTGAAATTCGTTTACAAAAATCAAGGGATCGGAATAAGAGAATGAGCAATAACGGACCTTGAAGGCGGAGCGAGCAACATATCTAAGGCGCTGAGATTCTCGGTAGAAGAAATCCGGTGATCCTGCTCCGCTCATTAACGCGTGCTCTTTTCTCTCCTGAATTTGATTCCTTCTTCTTCTTGTTCTTTGGGGTTTAAGCGCGATAGGGTTTATGGAATTGGTACTTGATTTCGGCCTTTGAGCGTACCGGGTCTGCCCCGATTCTCAAATTTTGACCCGCAAAAGCCAAGTCCAGACTCCTAACTATCACTCCAAATGGGCCAAGCCTATCTTTCTTCTTTGTTGGATATTTGAATGAGGCCCACGAAAATGTTTTCTATGGACAGCAGTTTGGAGTTCGGAACCCAAAACTTTTCCCCATTTTATTTTTATAATTTTTTTCTCCCCTACAAAAGAGGAGGCAAAGGCAATGGCTCCATTTACTCAGTTTTATCCTTATACTTTTTTTAATATAAAGGTACAGTAGTCAAGAAATTAAATGTCTAAGAAATATTCAGGACCACCTTTAAAGCGATCTCGTCCGTCGGATGGAATTGATATGACGTCAGCGACTTATTAGGGGCAATACTGCCAATTTATGAATTTATCCCATCTAAATAATTTACAATCCGCAAGCTACTAAATTAAAAAAAAAAAAAAAACCCAAACGAAATAAACGACGTCGTCATGCCTTGTCTCTACATCTTTCCCAGCACCCGTCGTTCTCCACATTTTCAACTTTCTCCTTTGCTGCTCCTCCGTTCGGCACCCTCCGCTAAAGATTTCACCCTCGCATCTTCCTTCGCCGCTCTTGACTCTCCGCTTAAATTAATATATTTTTCATTCAAATTTTGACATTTTACCCATAAATTAAAACAAAAAGAATCTATCCATCTCTTCACAACAAAGTCTGGTTAAAAATGCAAAGCTTCATTTGATTATTTAAGAATAAATTTTGATGTCTAACATTTTTTTTGATGAATAGTTTTATTTTGAATACTACCCCCAACAAAATGTGAACCTCCAATCTCGTATACACAATCTTTATATATCCCTAAAAGGGTTGATGTCCGTATCTTTAATTATATTGATATGTATGTGGAGAGCAAATTTGCCTAAAAATGTCGCCAACAAGTGGATTTCATCTGTCTATGTCTGTACGAATCATAGTGGCTTTGTATTGATATTGTCAATGGAGAAAAAAAAAAGATTGAAAGGCAGTAGTACATATTGGTAGTAAAATATAGGGTGGCATTAATATCAAATATGGTTTCTCCAAAATGGTAGGGCTATATATGTTTTCCAACAAATTATGCAAAACCATGTGAGGTATTTGCCAATTTGCTTGAGCCCAAGTTTCAATTTAACAATTGTTTTATACTAGTAGCTAGTTTCTGACTGTTTTTGCCATTTGAAGATGCTATACGATTAACTGGATGGAGTTGCATACAAATTGCTCGAACTGCACATGCTGATTGCAGAAGATATCACTCCATATTTCGACGTGTCATTTTCTCCCTTACTAGCTATCCTTTGCTAGTTTGATTTCGTCCGTTACCCTTTTCTTCCCTAAACCAAATGGCAATATTAACTAGAGGGGTTGTATGAAGTGACCAAAAAAAAAAAAAACTCATGCATCCTTAATCATATATTCATCGATGGTTTGAATTACGTTATAGACATTAAAATTCCTATAATTCAGTAAGAGAAATGTTACTGTTGTCAACCATAAACATCAGGAACATATATTTATTTTGAAATTAAAAAAAAAAAGAAGAAAAAACGAAAACAGATGGCTAGAGTTCAATGGGCTAACAAAAATGGATAGACTTAATTTTTATGCATTAATATTTATCAATGAAGTGGTTATATTGGTATGTATAATGATAAGAAAGCTCAAGAAACATGTCCGGAGTTAAATTAATTGGGTGCCGAATATCAGTTTAATGTTCCCACATATGCATGCACGAAAGACATCAAGCATTGTACGTAAAGTTGTTTACGATGATACGGCTGCTACTCTGGAAAAGATGGAAAAATGTTGATGTCTTATCATCAGTCTCTTCCATACGCTACTTAACCTCGGACTTCAATTCCGGACTGCCCAACGACGCTAGTTTTCTGACACTTCTTCTGTAGGTTTCTAGAGTAGAGTTGTAGCTAGTTGTTATCCAGTTAGTTATTGACTTAGTTATTAGGCCAGCTGAATGAATCTCAGACCCCAGCCAGCTCTCAAAAAATGATTTAAGCAGTCAAATTCGATCGCTATATCTCGCGCTGTAAACTAATTAATCAAGTAGGATTACGTAATTATGAATGAGTTATACTCCTTCTGTCTTTTATCCAGTTTAAAATTTCACTTTCACTACGATTTGAACTAAAAATAAAAATTCAAACTGGATAATAATTTTGGGATGAATCGAAAGTATTACTATTTATCAAATTATCAATTGCCATAAGATTTTCTCAATAAGATTCGCAATAGATCGTTGGGCAGTCCGTGGAAAATTTCAAATCCATAATGTTGCATCATCACTACTATATTCAATGATATGGATTAATTTACACAGTTTGTAGTTGAAATTATGTTCTAAGTAGACCGTGGAATATTTTCATTTGATTTTAAATATTAATCCAGAATTCAGTTACCAACATGAACCCCATAAATGTATTGTTTAATCAATTATCAAAGGCAGCCTAGGTTAACCACACACACACACACACAAAGGAGGCAGGCTAGGCCAGCTGACGATGCATGATTATCTCATCACCAAGAAGCAGAAACATCATCGAGATCAATTCTTGGTTCATCAAATTAACAAAAAGCTTAGTTTCGTGTGCGATCTCCACAAAAAAGTCGATGATGTGACGACACAACATAAGAAAAACATGCAAATATATTTAATATTCTGGCCCTAAATAATAATAATAATAATAATAATAATAGCTGGAGAAAGAAAGACGTGGATGATGGATGTATCTATATTCAGATCAATGCATGGCCCCTACAACCATATCATACACTCACTACCCTTGCCTGGCCTATTTTGATGTGAAAAAACCCAACACCCTAAAAATTATGAAATAAAACAACAATATATATCTTTGTGTACATTATTCCGTTTCGATAAGCAACTTGTTGGCTCCATGATTGGCTTGTTTATGAAGAACACACACAGAGAAAATGAATCTTGATCAAGTAGATAGCGTTTCCTAGCCTCATTGTTGAAACAAGGGGCGGGATACATTGAACCATGGCTTCCACTTTCTTCCCAAATCCAGTCTATAAATTCATAATTCAGAAAATCTTCAAAACCATCATCATTCATCGAGAGCAGCAAAAATCAACTTCTTCTAAAAGCACTACTGTCTATTATCATTTCAAAGTTTTTCAATTGTATCAGATTTAACCATTTTCATATGGGGATCCGAAAGCTTACGACTTCCGGCATGGTAAAAGGAAAGAAAAGAGTTGAACCGGGAGCCGTGGTGCATAAATACGTATCAAGTAACAGTAAAGCAAGTGTAGTTCCAAAGGGTTACTTAGCGGTTTATGTCGGAGATGATGATGGTGAAGAAGATCAGTCGATAAAATGTAAGCATCGATTTGTGGTGCCAGTTTCATACTTGAAGCATCCTTTGTTCCAAGATTTATTGAGACTTGCGGAGGAAGAATTCGGGTTTGATTATCCAATGGGGGGTCTAACCATCCCATGCAGCAAAAATGCATTTGCTCAAGTCATTTCTCAACTAAATCAAGGATTCAATTCGTACATTAATAGATATACTGTGTAATGTGCAATCCTATAAATATGATCGATACAGTAGTAACAAACCCATGATTGTTAAATTAATTACTAGCCAGCTAGCTAGTTATAATAGAAAGCTGTTTTTTTTTTTTTACGCAGAAAATTTTAGTAAAATAGCGCTTAAGTTGTATGTATTATCAGTCTGCTCACAGAATCTACTCTATAGTGTTATCTGTATCTCTTATCTGATTAGAGTGGAGCATACAGGAACGAACTTTAGTTCTCTTCTCCCCAATATCAAAGTTATGTTACAGTGGAGGTGTGAGAAAATCAACATGCATTTATTTATTTTGTTTAATGTTCTCTCATTAATGTTTGTACCAATTTGTGTGTGTGTGTGTGTGTTTTTTTTTTTTTTAGTACTCTACATGCAGAATTGCAGATGATGGAGCTAGCTTCTTCCAAATGAGAAAATGTGAATTGTCAATTGTGAATCGACGCATATATAGTGCTTCGGTTCCACACATTGTGTGTTTAACTAACAGACACGTTTCATCCCCACCCAAATTCCCTGCTAAACTCATTATAATTTTTTAATTGTACTTTTTTTTATCTCAAAATAATTATTCAATTTGATTTTTTTTATTTTTTTGTTCAATTTGTCTTAAAGTAAAATTTCAAACTGGACGGGAAGTATATTGATAACTTGTCAAAGATTGCTGCTAGCTGCTAACTTGGATTTTATATGAAATTCACACAAAATACAACCTCAATTAAATTAAAATACATTTAAAAAACTATACTTATCGACACTCATCATTGCCAGTCAATTGTTTCTCTCTTCTTTCTTTTTCCTTTTTTTTTTTTTTTTGGTGGGTGCTGAGGGCATTAGATGAACCTTACATTGTCTAATTACAGTTACTGGTGCATCACATCACGCTCAATAAGGTTTAGAAGAAAAAAAAAAAGAAATAAATGATAGGAAAGGTGAATATGTGATCACCATTAAGGGCTAAATGCGAGATGGATTGCGGCTCCACTATGCAGATCATCAACAATCACAAGACTCTACGCTTAATAAAGTGGATTTCTTTTTCCCCTTCATTAGGCGACCCACTGAAGGAACAGTTATTCTAGTATAAAAATATAATAGTATATCCTAAATTTTCTTAAACAATTAGTAATAAAATAAACACCAGACTTTTATTTTCGGACCTAGAAAATAATACATTATGAAACACAAAATCAAATCATGCCGGGGTAGATTCTGAAACTATACAAATCTAAATAAATAAATATACCGCATCGACGACAAACGTCACTAGAAATTGTGATTCAGACAAAAGCCTCGGGACAAAAAAAAACAACCACCGACGTTAATTCCCCAGCGAATAGGAAAGCTACATTTGGTACATTATTGAAATAGAGATATTACCAACCTCACCCAACCTAAAAAGTTCCCACTTACCTCAGTAATCAGTTGATTCAAACACGCCAATGATAATGCAGGAATCAACAATATGATTATTATATACTGCGAAACGAATCCACAGCACTGAGATTTCAATCCGGAAGTGGCACAATGTTAGGTCTCACTCAATAGCATTATTTTCAGATAAAACGTCCTAAGAAAAAGGATACGCAATTCCCACCACACTACGAAGCAAAAAACATGTGAGTGGGGTTCTTCAATGACTCAAAACACCGTACAAAGTGAATAAATATAAAGTTCCACTCAGCAACGAATAATGGCAAAGGAGGCAAAACCCGTCTTGAGATCGGATCGGAAAAATGTAGCACAACCATATTCCATTTGCAACAGAAATTCTGTCATTCCGAAATGTCTATATTTACATTTTCATACAAGGAACAAGAGCATTACCAGAATGGATGTGACAAAAGCACTTTACCCTATTGCGGGCGTTATGACGGGAGAAGTACACGAACGATATCTAAAAACTGGAAAACATGGCAACAGTCTGTTTGATCTAACCACTCTATAACCGGGTTGGATATCAGAAACGACCACAGCAAGGAAGCCAAGACATGCAAAAGTTGAAAGCTTTGTTCCCTACAAGTCCTGAAAGTTGAAACATAAAAATGCGGTTAATGAAGCCGAGTTGCTGCGTAATATATGCATAGACATTAATATAACGAAGTCTAGGTCATGAAATTGGTCATTTACCTTGGCAATATTCAAGAGGGATAGATTGAAGAACAACATAACAAAATTGGAGGACCCGGGATCCGTCAGTAACCTAAGGTGACCTTTTGTCATAGCAGAAATTTTTTTAACCAATAAGTTCAATCAGCGGGCTTCCAAGAAGAAAGTGCGTAGATAATACGCCCCTTCCAACCTTGCAACATCCACTGGCTATCTTCATCAATTACAAAATCCTTGCTGTAAGATTTCACTCGTTCTCTTGACATCCTCATAATCTCCTCATTCAAAGGAAGCTGTTGAAAACCTGCTCGTAGATTTCTTACCTGCCATTGTTTGTAAGTCTCTGGTCGCTCAATCCGCTCAGCGCCTTCACAAGCAATTACATTCATTGCTTCACGTCCGAAGATTGTTTTCTCAATCAGCATCCTTTCGTGAATTTCGCGGGGTATGTTAGCCTCAAGCATGTCAAACAGAGAAGAATAGTGAAACAGAGCTTCCCTGAATCGAGTGATAAAGAAGGGGGCATTGTATGCCCCATTCACTATCCCCAAGATGAAAACATTTGGCCTTATCTCCTTAATAAGATTCAGGACTGTATTTCTGGGACTGTTTACCAACACGGTTTCATCAAGTAGATTTCTGAACCGGTAAAGACAGTTAACCACGAGCACCTCATCTTCCCTGATTTTAAGGTCCTCAATTTTAATTGTTTCCCATTTCTGTGCTATAGCATTGAACTCAAGTTCAACTCCAAAAGTTTCAGCATAATTCGCTAAGCGCCGTCCTGTCTCCTCCACCCTCGCTGCTGGACGGAAGCCAGGATTTGGAAAATCAATCCCGGTGATGCGAAGTTTAGGAGGACCACCTGGCCTAGTTGAGAGCCGTTGCATGAGAGACGGCCATTGAAAACCATACAGAACACCAAAATCAATAATGTGCAGCTTTGATGCTTTCTCAGCCGCATGCCAAATAGTCTTATTTGAGAAGAAATTCGATAGCTTCCGGAATGGACAAGCAGCAAGAAAAAGCTGGTAAGCTTTTAAGACATCAACGGCTGAGGTAGGCATGGAAATGAGAGCTTTGTATATCTGAGTGCTGGAACCTGCCATACGTGCTTCAAGACCATCAGCAAGATAGCTAGCCAACCTCTGCATTCCATCACCAGTTGGATCAGAATGCTGTCTAATTTGCTTCAGAAATTCATTTGCAGTCCTTCGATCATCAGCAGCCACAGCTTGTGCACAAAGGGTTAGTATTGTCCTCAAGTCCACGACCTTCCTCTTACCACCTCCTTTCTTGCCACGTGTTTTGCTACCATTAGTCCCTTTAGCTTGTTCGTTCTGCAAAATGCTTTTACTTGCTACTTCCTGCAAGGCTTTCCTGAGATCAGACTCATTTTTGCCTCCACTGCACAGCAGCACGTCATCAAACAGTTGAGATCTCACGGTTGATTCAGAATAGACAGCAGTCTGCTTATTACTTTTAACTCTCTGCATATCTGAATCGTCATGAAGTGGATTCTTCCTCCCCCTTGACTCCTCAGGGTAATAACACACGCTTTCGTGCTTCTCTTCGTTCATGCTGGAAACTCTGTTATTGTGATTTTTCCCGTTGTCTTTGAAATCAAGGACTAAAGCTTTGCCGTTGAACAGAAACTTACTAGCTTCCTCAAACCCCTTCTTAAATTGCAGAGCAGATTCGCTATCCCCAAATATATCTGAAATTCGGAGACAACTGTCAGGAGAATCGGCAAGCCCATCAGACACAGTGCTGCAGCTATTTGAGGAACTGTATGCCGGTTGCGAAGTCAACGCCGAAGCTACATCAACTGAGATATTTGATCCGTGGGTAGAGTCATATGCATTAGCATTAATATCCGAACTCCAATTTGGACACCACAAGCCACTACATGTGGTAGAACTATTAGAATCACCCAATGAATACTCATCACAGGTTGAAATCCCTTGATTTGAATCTGGCACCCGATGATCCCCCGGTACAGGATGAGGAGGACGAGGAGGAAGAGGAGGGGGGTAAGTCTCCCCAAGAGCCTCGTAAAATGATTTTTCCGCCACTTGAAGGGCAGCAGATTCCTGGAACATACAAGCCTTCTCTTCCATATCCTCTTCCATGAGTATCTCACTTATATACTTGAGCACAACATCATTAAAATCATATTCCTCGTTTGGATCACAATTCCACTGAGGATCATAACCATTCAAAGACGGTTCAGATTGGGTAGAAAAGTTTGGAAGATAGTCACCTGGCTCATCTTGAACCATTCTACCATTACCAAGCCTGGGATTGTTCATCAGAGGAGTATTTGGAACAACAGAAATAGCCCCATCACTGAGCTTGGTTCCAGGGGCATCCCCATAATAATAAGTCCTTAAATTTCCATCCATGACCATCAATTTTACTAAAACATGAAAAAAAAAAACACTCAATCCCTAGACTGTTAAAACCCCTTAGCAGAGCAACTTCTCTTTCCAACCATGAAATATAAAGCTAGCACACTGCAAGAAAGTTTGAGATAAAAGATCCTTAAAGATGAACTGGAATAATGAGTAAACAAAACAAAGGGCCAAATCCAAAATCTCACTAAAAACCTTTTCAAAAGATATTGTAAAAAGAAAAGAACAATAGCGTATCTCCCACAAAATGTTGAAGAAAAGAACATTATCCAGAGGGAAAGGGAAGTGCTGAGAATCTGCATAAACATGTCATAACCAACACTGGAAACAGCAAAGACGACAAAACCCCACATAAATCTGGGATCTTTTTGTTTTCCGTAAAAATCCCAGAAAAAGTAAATGAATTAAAGCAATGACTATAAACAAAGAGTATGCTTTTTCTTTTTATGTGGCTATCAATACAGAATATTGCATGGACAACAATGATTAACAGAGTGCGAAAGAATGAACAAATTCATTAGAGAAATTGCCTTACACAGTTGAGAAGAGCAGAAAGAGGGGATTTCTTGAAGGTTGGAGCAGTCAAATCTCGGTGGAAAATTTCGGAGGAGAAGGGAAAAAAAAATAAAAATGAAGATGCGGGTTAATTGTCTTCAGAGTATTTAAGGCACAATATGGCGAAGGAAGAAGACTTACTCGTGAGTCGTGACTGTGACTCCGATTTGCGGCTATGGGTACTGCTGGGGCAGAACCAATCCGGACCGTTGAACATCCCAATCTGTAGTACTTAAATGAATATAAATAAATACTCCCTCTATTTCAATTTATAGGATAGGACATTTTTAGTTTGAATAGATTTTTCAAAATGTAAGTCATTTTATAAATTTTAGGTAAATTAATAATATTTTTTCTATTTTATCCTTAATAAATGATGTCAATATATTTTCATTTAGTCTTATTTATTATTTTCATTTAGTCTTATTTATAGTTTCAATATAAGTAATAAAGGATAAAACATATATTTAATACATAAATTAATTGTTAGATGATTATTTTTTTAATATAAAACTCTAAAATGACTTAAATTTTGAAATGGAAGGAACAGTGATAGACTCGTCGTAAAAGCGCTTCTTTTTTTTTTTACTTCATTTTTTTCTTATTATGCGTTTTGACAAGTCAAACTGCTGCTTTTTTCTGGATGTTTCCTTCTTACCTCATAGAACAAACAGTTAGCATATTAATCAACATTTATAAAACTGTTTGTTTGAAGTTATGTATGAAACAAGAGTGTTTTTAGTCCAAAAAAAAAAAACATTTATAAATTGGAAAATTTTCGATCTGATAAATTAACTCGTAAAATTGTGTTCGTTGTAGTAGTTCTTTTATGTCAATCCCTCGTAGCGATAGTGATAAAATTTTAAGTGGATTTTCGAGAGATTCGAGATCAAATTATATGTCTGGAGATTGTGTATTCCAGCAATTGGTATTTCAAAACAAATAAATAAATTATGATAAGGACATGTTATTCATTTATATATCTTTGTTTCTAAAGTATTTCGTTTTAAACTATACTAGAATGAAAATTTTCGATCCTGTTGCAGCATGAGCCAAAGGTATAGCAATGTAATTGGATCATTGAGGGTTGGTCATACTCATCTCATATAATTAAATTTATGTTTTACTTATAAAGAACAAATTAAAATTAAATTTCATGAATAATTAAACTAGCTGAAGGGAAGACATTTGATTTTGCCGTATTATGTAGTGCGTCCAGCTAGAGTTGATGTAGTCAAAATCAGGAAATGATTAAAGAAAGGGAGGCACATGTATGCTAGTAAGAGAGAGAACGGTGCATATTTGAGAATGAGATGTTTAAAATGAAGAAAGTAGTAATCATTTTTGACAATTGTCTAATTAGTAATCATATTCCAAAATGCGTATTGATAAACGTGTTACCCAAAGAGAGGCCGAAAGTGTCACACAAATCCTATATTTTTATTATTACAAGTATTAAAAAGGTTGTCTCCTAACACACTATGATCCCCATCACGCCCGCGCCATAGACGAACACCCCATCTTCTAGAATCTCCTAGTACCTGTCTATATAGCCTTATCCCCCCATCATCTTTGTTTGTATTCACTGAAGCCTTTGCCCGATCACTACATTATTGCATATTTTAGTGCAATATCGGATTGCATTTTTCTACTTAAACTAACTTTTATTCAACCTCCTAAATACCCGTAACTTTATAATTACAGAGTGTGAACTATTTTTTTGAGACGAAAGAAATATTTATTACTCATCACATTATGATTTCTGTAACAAAAAATTACACAGTAGACCAATTATTTTCAATTTTTTAGGGGGTGGTAGAGGCGGAGGGAAACATGGATGGCTATGGATCCTCATTTCAATATCTTTTAAACTTTTGTGTATGAAAGCAAGAGAAGTAGATGACAAACAGAGTAGAGAAGCTCGACGTCAGCAGCTGAAATTTGTGGACCAAAATTTGCTGCGAATTTCTGACAAAATTATAATAAGTCGGCATTCAAGACTAAATTCGTGTAACCATGTCATAGGGTACTAGATTCCTCCAGCTCCCTCCCTGGCCCAAAATGTGCAAAACACCAATTGGTTCGACCTCTCTGTTATCATTTTTCAAGAGTTTCTCTTTTAGAATTCAGTATTTGTTGGTCTCGTATAAGTCTGACATCTTCGAACGATAGAAATCATTGGATGACACAGTAAACAATTGCGATCAAGCTGGTCCACTTCGGTTGTTTGTCAGTATTGGGCCAATTGGTGGGCATACGAAAAAGCTCTAAAACCCATTTGTTAAGTGGAGCGTACATGTACTTGAAACGGAGATGGGCCAATCAGTTAACCAACGTTTATCATAATCAAGATTCGCTAGCCTTTGGAGGATATAAACAATTGAGCCCATTAACTTCTTCCTATAACCTTTCTTCAGCTTGATTTCTTTCGAGTACCACAAGCTTAATGGGACAATATATTAACATAGAATTCCAACATTAACGTTGGAGTATTTAATTCTTCATAAAATTCCAATATTAACATAGAATTTAATTCTCCTTAGCTAAATTAGGATTATCGTGTAAATCCGAGTTACATATTTTAGCATCACCTCCGAATATAGCTCTTGACAAGCTATCTTTTGTCAGTCCGTATCTCCCTTTAAGCGAGGCTTTGTAAATCTGAGCGAAAGCTCCCTCAGTATAGAAAAAAAAAAAAATTCTTCATTAAAAGGATAAAAGAAAATTGTAAGTATTTTTTTAAAAAATGAAAACTATTACCAAAATAAAATTGTTCATAAAACCAAAAGAATTTGGTTGACCTGACATGACCATGCTGGGATGGAGTTTTTCAATAAAACCATTTTAACCTAACTACTTCATCCATATAAATTTTAAAACTCAATTCAAACTAATTTTTTAAGACAGAGAAAGTGAAAAATTTTCAAATAGATCCATGCAAAAGCTCCCCCTGTAGAAAGGAGAAAAATTGAACATAAATGTCCCACGGAAAAAAGAAAAAAATGAAAAAATGAGGCTACTGAAACATAAATACATAATAAATGAAGGGTGCAATTTAAGAGGAGTAAGTGAAGGAGGCGGAAGCAAGAATCTAGCATTTAAGGATTCAGATCTGAATTGAATAGAATAGAATTCCATGCAGGAGTAGGAGTATTTAAAACGGAAAAGGAGGAACTCTGTAATTACCAGGCTGGCGGTGATTACTGTAGAGAGAGAACAGAAAACTAAACTTACAGCCTAAAACACAAAAACGGAAGCGTGATATGTTGGAATCTGCATGTTCTCTTTCTCTAACAATCTTTGCCTCATCCAAACGCAATCTTTCCCCCCGCGAGGGGTCCCACTCTCATCATCTGTTTGAAATTTGGATCTACTATTCGCTATGTCCCCTATAATCACATTCAAATTACTTTTTTTACTTTCAGCATATCAAAATTATTATCTGATTTGAATATTTTATTTGTATTAAAATTATGTAATTGAGTGAATTAAATTTTTAGTATGTTATGAAATCGATTCAATCATTTGATTGCATAGATAATTTATAATTTATCAATTTAATGTTTAGTTAAAAAATAAAATTTATAGATACGGTCACTCTCACAGTCTCGCTTCACATTTGTGAATTTACGTATATATAACTTTTTAGGCCATATTCTGGTTTTGGTTCACAATATGGGTGAAATCAAAAGGAAAAGAAATGAGAAATGAGGCAAAACGGATTGGGATTACAGACAATTACAACAGCTTTCTCACGCAACAGAAATCGTATACACACAACCAATGGAGAAAAACACATGATGAGTCCCCCCCCGGGTCACATGGCCCAACGTGCTTTGGCTGCATAATTAAATCAGCCACCGCCACAAAAAAAATTCATGTCACCACCCAATCATTTGCCTCCTTTTCTATTTTATTAAATACACACCCCCCAAAAACTGTTACTCCTATGTTACGTACTCTTCAAAACTGTTTCTCTCCCTCCTCATTCTTTTATTCCTTCTACTGCAAATCTACACCTTTTAATTAATTTTGTTTCTCCATTTGTGCGTGATTTCTAAGGGGTTTTTTTCCCCCCTTCCCCTTTGGCGTTCGGTTGCAACCGGTCACCATTGATTCTTTTGTTTTGTTCTATTTATAGCCTAATACAAGTAACGAAACAAAAAAGGGTGTGGAGCTCCAGACCTTTTTTAAAACTTCATCATTTATCCCACCTTCCCAACTACCGCTTTCGTTCCTCTGGCGGGCGCCTCCCCCCCCCTTGCCAAACCAATATACCAACCCACAACTTTCCTTCACGGCACATCAACAGAAAATTAAAGTGGAAAAAGGAGAAAGAGGGATTTTCTTTTTCTTTTTTTTTTTTAAAAAAAAACCAATCTCTCAATGATGTTTCGATCAATAAATTATTTCATACATCAACCGTATCATCTACTCTTATTGTTTGTAAGTCTCTTGCCACTCCAAAAAGAATAGAGAGAGTAGTATAATTTACGTTAAAAATCAAGGTGCATCTACATTTTTCCCTCCGGATCAGTTACATTTAATTCTCATTCAAGCTTTAAAAGTGAACCGAAAGTGCCCTCAAGGAGCGTATGAAAGCAAATCATGACGATAAAGGTTAAAATAAAGATTTGATGAGAGAGGCAGCAATGATAATTTTTTAATTCACCAGCTTCAGAATCCTTCACTCCCGACACCAAATTAAAAAACTGCGGGAGATCCATGGAGTCACCCTTCCCGATAATGTCTTTAACCATATCTACCACAGAATCCTGATAATTACTTTACATCCTGTTCCTGTTATTGTCCTTTTAGTTTTAGTACAACCAAGAATCTTGGGAAAGTAAATCTAACCTCAGTATGAACACTTATCATCAGCGTAACTTTGCGAAAAGAATACAGTGCCACTGGACTAGTACTGGTTCCCTGAACATGTATGAGAAGGACCTACAATGTGCAATTTCATTCATTGATCTTCAGAAATTGAAGAGAGTTCTACAATTATGTTGAAAAGAATACAACCCAAATGAAACTTTGTTCACAGAGTGTGTGATTCCTGGAAAAAAAAAAAAAAACAAACTTTATTCCATCATTTACAAGTGCCAGCCCAACCCCACATTGATTAAGCTGGCAATAAATCAGTGAGTGTGACAATTCTACATTAGAAACTTTCCACAATTCTTTTTACATTTTTTCAGTGCTTTACTTCCCTACCACAAATTTTTACACAGTCTGACAACTTGTAAAAAGCTTCAAACTTCAATCTTTTCTGCTTGAGCATCCACAGTTTGCAGGGGCTCAAGCTGAGGCTTCCCGTGCTGCTTAGACTGATGTTGAGACCAATACGAGTGCGCAGATAGTACTCGGTCCAGGAGCTCCTGAGGCACGGGCTCTCCCCTTCTTTGCTGCGGAGATATACTTGCTGTGTGGACCAATGTTTTCCACTTATCCTGTTTCCAAAAAGAAATCCATATCAAACCCACCATCATACACGTTATTACACGAAACAGCATCACCAAATCATTTTATTCTAATCCACACACAACAAGTTTCAACCATTGGCTAAAATATCATTGCCTGTACACAAGGCACATCTACTATAAAATATGAATATTAAAAAAAACACCAGACTTGAGTGCTTCTCAATGAAGTTTCGAATGGGAGCCAACAAAGTAAACAAAAGATATATACATATCATGCCTCAGAATATATAATGCTACAGCGTCACATTTAAAAGGAATAGCAAGGCAAACCTTCAAGTCCACATAGGTGCGATGATCAGCATTGTCAAAGGCACGCATTTTAACATCACGCCACCTGCACAACCAGAAGAGAGCAATCTCAGATACTCAGCGGATCACAAAAATTTCTTAACCAAACAAAGGAAGTTCTCTATTAGATCAAAGTGAATCCAAACCTTCCAGTTCCAAGTATCTCAACTGCTTCGACCAGGGCTTCCACTTCACCGACAGAAAAGGGCCTCCTAGTCCTGCGCTGTGAAGCTTCCGAGCGTTTGATTTTTGGGTTCATCGGAACCAATGCTAGTGCCTCAGCATTCATCATGGGGTGGGGAACCAAAGCCTTAGAGTCTGCTGCTGCCTCGTCTGTTATTGTGTTCGTAGGGGTCCTAGGGGACACCAAGACTTCTGAGTTTGATTCATGCTGCTTGTTTGTCTTAATAGGCGGAAGAGAGTCAAATGTAGCACTTGAAGGTCCTGAATCAATGATAGGAGTGGCTGTAGTCCTGAAAATGCAATAGCAAAGAGTGTAAAGTTTCCTTCGCATAAGTTTGTGATAATACAGAAGCACAATTCTAAGGTCATGAAAAACAGCAGAAACGGAGTTTACCCCTGTAATTTCTGTTCAGCTTCACGGGGTAATGGCTGCAGAGAATCCTTAGGAGGTTCATTTACTTCAGTAAAGCTGGGCTCCAATACAAATCCCAAAGAGTCAAGATTGCCACCGTGGGAAATACCAGCCTGCTGTAGGGTTCTATTGTCATCTCTGACTTTCTTTCCTTGAAGAACAACTCCTACCCGCAATCCTCCACCTAGTATTGCTGTCACTGTTTCCATTACTGTCCTCTGAGACGAACAAACATCACATATCATGAGATACAGCCATTCACAAGATCTAAAAGCTTAGAAAGTAGCAACTGAAAAACAGGCACAAAATGTCCATGGTAACATAAAATCATCAAGCAATTTCAGAAATATCTTACACCAATATTGAAAGGACAATCACTAGCAGTTTCAGGATGTAAGTACATACTAGAGAAAAACCAAAGAAAGATACATTTTAGGGAGCAATGGGCAAAAACATAACACACTTCATGTCTAGTCAAAAAGATAAAATGACTTCCTACAGAAAGGATAAGGTGTACCGAAACTGGAAATAGAACAAAAAATGCTAAATCGAGTACTTGAATCAAATAAGAGAGAGCCAACTACTATCCGGCAATAGGTATACATTTTGCAACCCATCAGAGCATAATAGCAGGACATGCTTAATCCACCATAACAAGGGAAAGCATTTACCTTCAGCGAACCAACAGTAGCAGTTTCAGGAACCTCAATGTAGAGCTCTGGCACTTTGAAGGACTTTATGCTGAACTTCACTGAAAAGCAAAGAACACGTGAGGAGTTTCAGCCCAATTTCTAAAGTAAATTCTTGTAACTAAAACAAAGAAAAGGTCAGAAATAACTATACCACTTGAATTCTTTGACTTTTGATTAACTTTGACAGGAGAGGATGCCCCATTTGCTGCAAGAAAGAAACACCGTGATTAAAAAATGTCATGAAGTCCTACATCCAAATCGAGAAAAACAGTTTTGAGGAAAACCTCTATGTAGGAAGGCATCTGATCTACTATAGTCTCCCTTCTCAGGCGAATTAGAAATACTTTCGCTACTAGCTTCATCATCATACGCAACAACAAAGCTTCGATCACACAATTTCCTTCGTTTAGAAGGTGATTCATGAAGATTTCTCTCCCTTGCATGCATGATTTTTCTGTTTCTGTAGAAAGACCTCATACCCTCACCTGCAATGCAAAAAACTAAGCAGTTAGAAGCAGCCAACCAATTCAGGAAACCTAGACATTATGACAGTATTTTGGAAAACCACATATACGGAGCAACAGAAGCTACAATGTCTCTACTTACTGGTGTTTGAAACTTCATAGTCTCTCAATCTAGGAACAGATTTCCAGTATTTCGAAGTCAACATCTTCCTAATCCTTCGGTAGTTGTTGCGAGCCTGCGGCCTGAAGGCCCTGATCTTGGTGCTAATTTTATTGCACCGAATAGAATTTTCGTCATCATCTCTAATTCCTACATTTACATGGTTCCTATGCTTGGGATAACAAGCGCTAGGAACAGGGTCCCTGTACAAGGACAACTGTACACTACTGTCTGAGTTAATCAGTGGTTTACTATTCATACACTTCTCCATTTGATTCTTTACACTTGCACTGTTAGCCATAGTTAGGTCTCCGATCTGCTTCATTTGATTTCCTACTTGTCTTTCCATTCCACTCTCTAGTTTACCAGTAGATATATCTTCAAATGTATGAGAGACTCGGTCTTTGCTATGGGGAATATTGCAATCAATATCTATGTCATTGCCTATTCCCAGTTTCAGATCACAATCAACTTTCTTTGAAAGATCTGAACTTGTGACAATGGAGATGCGCTCTAAAAGAGAATCACTTTCCGAGTGCGGATGATCCTTCAAAGGTGACTTTAAGCTGTGACCTCCTGCCTCAAAATCTGGCGCAAAAGCACTCTCTACACAGCTTCCCTGGTCCAGGCACTCTGATCGGAATGCCTTAGCTTCTTCAATTCGTTCATGCTTGATTCCATCTACATTAAGATCAGATTGCACCTTGGTCTCTGTTGCATTACTAGAAGCAGAGCTTTCGCTCTCCTGCAATAATTTCCCAGCTACAGCTGCCAGCAACTCAAATGCACAAATTTGCTGATCGTCCACCGATTTTTTGAAAGGACCCCTCCTCTGACAAGTTAAAGAACCCATGCTGAGATCACATGAAATTAGGTATACTATGAGAAACCATTTTGACTTAGGAGAAGCAAAAGCTTACTCTAACTGATCGAGGAGCCCTAGGGACAACAGGGATTTCATAGCCATTGAATCCATAATCCAACCTTTTCTTCAACACCATATCTCAGGAAGCATGCCAAAAAGTCGTGAAACACAATGCAGAAGCAAAGTAAGGCAGACCTGAATGAAGAAAACTAATGAGAGGATAATAGATGGACATATGCATAAATAAGTTTCTAAACCATAATGAATGAGGGAAAGCGGTTGAAAATTCGAAATGCAGTATACGAAAAAACTATGCCAAAAACAGGCAACCCGCAACCAAACCCAGAAAATACACTCACATCAGAAAGTCCTTCTACTTGGATAACATTCTGACCCAGCCAATGAAACTCCCCTCACATTAAAGAAAAACAATAATCGCCAGAGACAAAAGAAACATGATAGATGTGATCGCATCAACCACATCTACAAGAGCTCAATACTGGTCCCTAGGCTGGAGCTAGCTTTTTAAAAGGAAGCAAGAAATTTCCAACCAACAGATTCAAATTTCCACATCCTCGATCTGTATCCGGAACTTCTCAAACAGGAAGGATTTTTGTTTTAAATAAAAATCATCAGATGACAGGAACGTTCCAAGTGGAAGACACCACCCACATGTTTACACGATTCACATAGTAACAAGAATTCCCAAAAACAACACCATAAATGAATAAAACTTCATTAAGAAAAGTTCCAATTTGAACATATATGGCTAAAAATTAAAAGAAGCAGCAGATCGGATACCAATTTCCATAAATCCGTTCAAAATTAATAATCCAGGCGAATTGCCAGATGAAAAAGGCAGAATTCAAAACCCTCCCCAATTTGAAAACAGTACGATCACGTAAGTTACATCCGAACCCAATTACGAAAACCTCTATGTCTCCGATCAACCGTTGTACCTCCGGACAGAATATCAACCAAAACCCTCCGAAATTCTACGCGATCACGCAACAAAACCCACAAAAAATTCAAACAATTCGCATCAGATCTCATCATGATCACCCTCAATTGCCCATTTTCCACAACCCCAAAACCCGAAACCGCAACAAACAGAACGAACCCAGCACCTCTTCCATTGAAAGAAATCTAAAAGAAACACCACATACCTCTATGATCCGGTGAGAATTGTGTTGAGCGAATCAAATCCTCTATCAGTAATTCTGTACAAAATACAAAAAGAATTCCCAAATCCCAACTCCTGTTGTTTCCTTTGTCAATTAGTCTGTATATTATATAGATATGTATGTATACTAAATTTGGGAAAATAAGAAGGAAAGAAGAAGAGTAAGATGGGATGTAGTTGTGGACAGAAATGAAAAACCTCTATGGGTTTGGAGATGGAGAAAAACACCAACCAACCAAGAGTTTTTAACAGAGTGCTAAAACCTCTCTCTCTCTCACTAACAATTTCACTTTTTTTAATTTTTTATTTTTGAGTTTTCTCAGAAATAATACTATTTTTAATCATTTTCTTTTCTTTTTTATCCTGCCAGAGAAAAAGGATAAAGGATTGTGCATTTCTTTTTTGTACTTATTGACCACACAACCGAACCCGCCGGTTAACCATTCTGTGAGGTGACCGGCAATTGCAGGTCATCGGCCTCTCTTTCCTCCTTGTTTGGACAGTTGGTTGGACGGACCACTTCCTAACTCCACTCTCCGTCTATAAAAAAAGAAAAAAAAAATTTTTAAAAAAAATTTGCTTATCTACTTCTTTTCGCCACGTGGCACGTGCTTGTCTCGCGGTGTGTGACTCTGTTTTTTCTGTCTTTCTCTCTTTCATTCACTAAACAAAAAAGATTAAATTAATCATAGTATTTTTCTTTTTTAATTTTGGATTTAGATGAGTATGATGGGGGGAGGCTTAGTACGACTGACTGGTTATTAACTAATTATGTAATGTTGGTGATGAATAATATGATGCCAATATGATAATAGCCGTCAAGAATCATGACATTATTTTGTCTTTGGGATTTGAGTAGATTTGTTTAGACAATAAAATTACAAGGCTAAATCCCAACTATGCTGACAGTGAAAGACGGTGAAATGACATATTTAACGAATTTGTTTCTGACTATAAAATATATAGATTTGAACTTATTTGTTATTCTTTGCCTAATTCTTCTATCGGAAAATAAATAAATTTTGAAGATATACTGCTAGCACGTTTTTTTTTAATGATCCTCCCTTTTTTTAGTTTCTTATTTTCAGATAATGAAATCAACGGGAGAGAACTTACAACGAGTTCACAATTTAATTTATGTTTTTAATTAATCTAGATGACAAAATTGTCTTAATTTAATCTGTAGTAGTGCAGAGTACTAAAAGCATGGGATAATGGCCTCATTGTTTTTTTAATAATAATGACATCATCAAAACAAGATACTAGTATAAACTGTATAATGATGTCGATTACTAGTTTTTTCCTTATCTCTTTTTCGTTCTTTAATATCTGATCAATTTATTTCATACACGTTAGTAATTTATTATACTAAAAACTGAACAATTATTTTGCAAGACAATAAAACGTTAAAAAAAAAAGTGTGATGTCGATACTCCGCTAATATCTATTTTATTTTTTTCATTCAAAAGATAAGTTTTAATGAGAAAAAAAAAGACAGTATATCTTCATAAATGAAGAAATTAATGGGAATAATTAAGTCAGGCAGACTTTTCAATCAATTCAGAGCATTCGATCTCATGGAGTAGTCGCAGGACATCGTAGAATTCAATCAATTCATTGGACAAAATTACATAGGGTTCTACATTTGGCATCTCCCTAGAGCAGTCAACTGAAGGATTAGTCAACATGTTGATAGTCCTACAACTAACCTTTTTTTTTTTTTTTAAGTCTTGAAACTTCTGCGTTGTATTTGTATTGGAAAAACGTAATTCCCATCGTATCCCTTTTTTCTAAAAACAAACTCTGTTTATTTATTTTAAATTCGATGTCATGGGACAAGCGTGGATAAGTAGCTAGATAAACTCGTCGAGAAGGGAAATTACCGATGTTGTTTTATTGTTTTTAATCCAATATATCCCTCAATTTTTTTAATGCTTATAACATGAAGTATTGCTATTGCTCAAATTAATTTGTAGTACAAGGGATCAAAGCAAAAACAACATAAAGAAAAAAAAAAGAAAAAAAGAGAAAGATGGCGTTGGACGAGTTTTATTTTTTTTGTCAATATTAGGGTGAAAATTAATCTAATTCGGCTTAAAAGAGGGCAAAAAAAGGTCCACAGTGTGTTAGTAATTGAACGGGTTAATGACAAATGTCGGTACATATATAAATGCCAATTGAATACCAATTAATTTATTCGCATATTCATTATTCAATATGTTGTAATGCACGGCAAGTATTTGAAAAACTGTAATGTCAACTCAATACGGCGAATAAATAACCAAATTTGGGTTTTAAGGAGAGGGTTTTTCCAGCTTTTTGCTTAAAGCGGGTTATCCGCCCCCATGTATAAAAATGCCAAGAAAAATGAAATTGTTTTAATGTCTAAACTCTCGTTAACTTTTATTACCAAAATTGTCCTAGCTGGAGTACCAAAATTGTCCTAACTCAATTTATCCTTTCTACTGATCTCTAGAGAAGTAATGAATAGAACGTATATTCTCTCTATTTCAAAAAAAAAAATTACATTGAATTTTAATATTTATAATAAAAATAATATAAATATAAAAACTCAATATGCATTATTTTTTTAGAGAGTAATAATAGTACTTTTTATGCATGAAAAGAAAGAGATCGATTTCAGTTTTGTTTCTGTATACTAAAATAAGGAAACTGTAGTTAGCGCTATAAAAAGAAGAAGCATTGCTTATACAACACGCATGTTAACTTTATGACTCTTCAACAATATTTATCTTTGAAGAAAGGCAAGACGAAAGATAGTATCTGGTTTCATTTCTTTTTACTAACTATAAAACTTGTGAAATAATAATGCTGACAAATGTAAGAAAGGTCGAAGTGGTTTTTTATTATTCTGTAGTGGCCTTTTGAATCGTTGTAACTCTAAGCGCGACAAATAGATGTATGAAGCATCAACCATCTTACTCCTTTTCTTTACCATTCCAGAAAAAAAAAAAAAACTTTTGTTATATTTCGTTTTCTCTTTTTTTTTTTTTTTTTCTGGTGGGAGAAGATAATTACTCCATCCGTCCCATAATTATTGTCCACTTTGCCCAAAAAATTTTGTCCCAAAATTATTGTCCAATTTGACTTTTTATGGGTCAAGTTACACATTTGTCCTTAGTAAAAAACATTATCCATAAAATTTTAGTGGTTAAACAATTACTTATGGGTATATCCGGTTATTTAAGGTAAAATATAGTTAAATTTGACCAAAAATAAAATTTTTCATTTCAGTAAAAGTGGACAATAATTATGGGACGGAGGGAGTATTTCATTAAGCAAACAGGTATAGTAAAAAAAAAAAAAAAACTATTTACAATTGAATTATTACATTATATTGTGCATATTTTACTTGATTGTATAGTATTTCTGTGTTTATTTTAAAGTCAGTTGGAAATTATTTGTAATTCTTTCTTTGACTATAAATGATTGTGCACTGCTGGTTTATATATTGTTAACAAATCGTTGGACAATAGGCAAACATATTAGTATTACTCCTACATTGCAGTGCACCTAAGTCGTAAACTTTTTTTTATTTTTGGTATTGCTTTTCTAATATAGAATAATACATCATCTTTCTTGAAATAATGGCACCTACTCTAATTTATGTAGAGGGCTCTATTAACAATATTCCATTGGCAGTTAGAAAGATAGCATCGCACACAATATGGATTTGGTACACTACTAGTCTACTACAATTAACTATTTGTATATTAAATACTAATTTGTGATTTCTAATATCGTCAATGGCTAAATCTGTTGCCGCTCAGTGTGTTGCCTTTTAACGGGAGATTCTGTTTTGGAGAGGAAAAAGAATTTTCCGTAAATTGGAAAAATAGTTTAAATTTAAAAATTAAAATCTTAAAATTAGAGCAATGAATTTATTTCATCAAAAGATATATCATGAATTTATTAAATGAACACGATGAATT